GGAAATCTGTTTATCGAGATATTTCGTGTGTATACTAAAGTTTTTTCACGCTTTCTTCTACCACTACTAATATTGCTGCATAAATTTGTAGCGATCTGCACTTGCTTCTGAGTTATGGGCATGTATATAGCCATAGATAAGATATGAAATAACTAAGGACATAAAAATTATGTATATTTAATGGTTATATACCCTGCTAAACATATTTTAGAAATTACAGTGAATACCAATAATAATACCAGTACCATAAATATCCAAAATTAATAAATATAGAGTCGTATCAAGATCCTACAAGTGTTTTAGTTAGAAGAAGTAACAGCGATTTTCTTTTATACTATTGGAGGCGTGTGAAAATATAAATATTAAAAAAATATACAGTGAATACCAATATCATAAATATTCGAAATAAATAAATAAAAAATCGTATCAAAATCCTACAAGTGTTTTAGTTATGAGAAATAAACGAAACAGTGATTTTGTTCTATACTTTGGAGACGTGTGAAAGTAATAATATAAAACAATTAAACATTCATTATACTAGAGTGAAATATTATTAACATCATTATATTCAATAGTTTATGCAAGCTAACATAATAGACTCAAACCGAGAGCGATCTGACAAAGGAATCGTGACTGTTGCTACACCCAAGTACATACTCATAATTATAAAAGCGTAGGCAGGTACAAGTAAAGGTGACTTTAAATGTCGGATAAGCTCTCATACTAAGCTGGATGCAGACTACACTAAGACGAAATTATTCTAAACAAGGCCCGTCCCAACTTCGCACGGATGTATTATCAAGTGACCCCATAATACCCCTTATATGTTGCCATTCTGAAGGACTGCGATGTCATAGGTTCATATCATGTATTTTAGTTACTTTATCTCCACAATTGAGCCTAAATACAACTTATAGAGCAAGCGTGGTGGCTGAAATAGATGAGACTGAGATAAGAACGCAGAACAAACTAATTATAGTAATCCCCGATATAATAAGAATAGAATAAAATAGAACTTCATTTATTTATTTGAAAAAATGATTTTTAAGAACTTACATTAAAGCACTTTTCAGAATAGTCATCACATTTATTTTTTAATCTACCGCTCATTCGGAAAGCTGTCTCATCTCATCACAAGATGAATGAGAAAAACCTGTGTGTTGCTCTTTTAAATTATTTTATTGTTATTTGAACTAGCAACTAGCACTAATTCAATTAAATACCTAAATAGAATATATTAAATATACAACCAACTGGTTGAGTAACTAAATCTTATTAATATAATATATTATGGAATTTTGATCAAACTTTACAGTAATATAGCTATACATCAGAATAACATATAGGCTATATATTTCACGGGAGTGAAACCGCGGGCACAGCTAGTAAGAAATGCTTTGCACTTAAATAACTTACTTATATTTAGTTCCAAAACAGTGATTAGTTTATGGTGAAACTTTGTCTTAACGATATTAATCAAATTCACTATATCTATGAGTAAGCACATTATCCTTACAATGAAGAAAGTGAACGCACGGCCGGTGCAACGAAGACTGCGTGGGCGACGCCGGGAGTCAAGGCCAAACATGCAGACGGGTGTTGTAAATACATTCATTGTTAAAATCAACTACTACTAAACATTTAAACCACGAAAATATGGTCTTCAATTGCATTATTAAGAATAAATATAACAGGTCACATCTTGATCAGATTTATATGAGAACTAAATGTGCCCCGCGGTTTTGCCCGCGTTAAATTTCAATGTAAAATATAGCCTATATGTTATTCTGATGCATAAGTTATATTACTGTAGAGTTTCATTTAAATCCGTTTAGTAGTTTTGCGTGAAACAGTAACAAAAATCCATACTTACAAACTTTCTCGTTTATAATTATATAGATTTGGCCTCAGATAAATATGATCAATCAAGTAGCAGTATCATTATACAAATAAAAAATAGTTCTTCTTGTAATGAGTCCGCTTTCCGAATTAGCAGTAGAATAAAAAATATTAAGGTTATTTGAATAAAGATTATTATTATAGTAGTGATAATATAGTAAAGTTTGTTCGAACAATCGGACATGAGATTTCTATATAGATCAGATTGACAGGACACACATTAATAATACGTACTTTGAAATTTAAAATGTTATGTGAAATATTGTAAAATTGCAAGGAATTAATACAACACCTCGTTCTTCGGGAATTAGAATAAGTAAATGGAGTAACACATTATGATAACTGTTTCTATAGATGACGACATAACTTTCCATCAAGTATCCATAGCAGTTGTTAAAAGAAACATTATCATTTCACAACATGTGCGGTCCATACCACTACGTGTGAATGCCCCAAGTTCAATGGGGTCTTTTGGGACCAAATGTGATACTTTCGAACGATTAGTCCGCATTCAAAGTGAATTATTACCCGTTAAACGGCATATAATGGTTGCTTAAATTTCCTACCATACAAAACACTCGTCTAAGTAATAATAGGCGGAGATATTCGCAACATAACCGCAGTCCGCTTCATACAAATTGATGTCAATTAACAAAAACGTTTCATAGTAAGATATGTAGGCCGGCTGTAGGGTTGGCAATATTTTCAGCAAAAATTACAGTTTCATAAAAAACTACATACATTCTTAATTAATGGACTAAGAAAGTATAGTTGTTTTCTAGCGATACAAAATCATATTTTTTTTAATGTTACATTTACTATATATGTATACTAGGTGAACCCGCGGTTTCACGCGCGTGAAATTTATAGACTATGTGTTATCTGCTTGGAGGAACCGAGTTGAATATAATAACATATCCCTTTGCGCAATATGTATAAACACATTTTAAAATATTGGTATTAAAAAATACGGTAATTTAAATCATGCTGCTTGATTGTTAGTATAAAAAGTCCCAATTTTTTTTTACCTTTCATATATGGTTGATAACCCTAGCCTTACTATGTGCGTCGGTAAAATACGGGGAAAATGCTCTTGTACTGTTTAATGCCCATTTAGAATCCGTTAAAGTGCTTACTGTTTGCCTCGAGATGCGAGTGACTGACAAGTAAAACGATTATGTTAGTAAGTCGACTTACATTAATAGGCCAATATTACTGATTTTTTATTCCCTATTTACTACAGTAGCGGCCCGACCCGGCATCACACATGTGAATATTTATTTTTTAAACATTTTGAGACAAAAGAACAGTAAACATATCTTTATGTAGGACAGAAGTGGTTCATTATCCGAATTATTATTGATATTTTACTTATTAAATTATTTCGTTTGAACCTTAGGTTACTTTATTGAAATTTTAATGTTACTAAGAGACAATGTAGCATTCTAATGGAAAAAAGATATAAAACATGGGTTAAGCCATTTTTAAAAACACAAAAAAATAGGTATTTTGCGCTTTTTATTACTTTAGACAAGTCTCCTTGTTTAATCTTCTTCTATAATAAGCCTGGGCAGTACACACAGCGGTATCTAGTCCCAAGCTAAGCAGAGCTTGTGTTATCGGGACTAGTCAAGTGATGTAGATATTAAAGTATTTTAATTTTCTATAAATACATACATAATACACACAGTTTATAATACAAACTTTTAGATTATTGGGAATGATATACATATTAGATATCTTATAATTTGTTATAAATACGTATCTTTATAATTTGTTATAAAACACCTGATTTTTAAACGACATAGAAATTAAATTGCCTTCGACTCTACACATGTGTAGAAGAATAAATAATCTACTACTATACTACCAAATCTAAACAGAACGTGTATTAATAATCCGAACTCGATAAATAAACCCAATTGGTTGTAAAAAGAATCCTCAAAATGATTAAGATGTGAAAGATTTTTTATGACTATAAAAGAATTTTGAAAAGTATATTATTATTTATCTCCTCTTTTTTATTGTAAAGTACACATAAGGCGCGCCGCGCCGGTAATACCGTCCTGATAATTAACACGATTACACGAAGCAAGTGTGTAGATACCAGCCGCTAGGATTGCCAACCATAAAACAAATAGCCTCGTGCGAAGCATTAAAAAAAACTAGTACATTAGCTCAATTTGGTTTTCTAACTTTATACATCATAGTATTTTGACAGAGCGGTTTGACAGAGTCAAAATATCGTACAAACTTTTATGAGAATAAAAATGTTTTAATACCAAAGGCCAAAAATTTCTTTTTTATGTAATTGTAATCTACGGACATTTCAGACGACTACGATGTCATCTTATCCTGTAATTTCACTGCCTAATCTGCACCCTACAACCAAAACACAGCTTACAAAGCAAGCTTGGCGGCTGAACACCGCCGACTTTTTACAGTCCTATTTGTACGAGACGTCTCGTACAATTGACGTCCCTAAGTAAGTACAACAGCTGCATTCTCTGTCCCTCTTTAGCCGGCGCGGCGTCAAAATGGCGCGAGACGACCGGAACAAAGCGGCGCGGAGGGGTGGCGCGGAGCGGGCGGCGCGGCGCCGGCGTGGCGCAAGGGATGTCACATTCTGCTTACAAGATCGAGTAGTAACAATCGATTGTTTAATTAACATATAAATCGATTCAAAAATATAAACGAAGAAATAATTTATTTCATAGAATAATTGATTGTTTGGGCTTCATGGCCTACGAGTGCTGTTATTTTAGTTCATCACTTGATCTATTTTTTAAAACAACAGGCATGGTATGTAGCCTTTATTATTAAGATTGTTTTGGTCGGATGAAAAAGTATTTAAAAAACTATTTTTAATTAATCGAGTTGTAATAATAATATCGATAGTTTAAAATACATTTAGAATAACAAAATAGATGTTTTCTAATTATAATCGTTGAATATAATCGATTTTTTTTATAATTATAATCGAATAGTTTAATCGATTTTGTCATTTAATGTCAATCGCTTTTTGACATCCCTACGTGGCGTTGCTTGCGTGCTCGACCGCCGCGCCGCTAGTTCGCCGTCGGCGCCGGCCATCGCTAACTGTTACCAGTTAAATACTGTATTCTTTATTTAGTAATTTAATTTTAACAATGGCGGATATTGATAAGCTTACGTTAATGAAAACAAAGTTAAAACATCTTTCTATTAAAACATTGCATTGTTCCTCAAAAAGTAGTTTTTGTTGGAAAAACTTTGGATTACTAATGATTAGTGTGAACGGAAAAAAACGTTTTGTACCCTCAGATCAAGTGTTTTGCATGGTCTGTTTAGAGGACGCCAAAAACTTATATGAAGACGAATTATTTGGAAGGTAAGTACTAAACTACACATGTAAACATTACTTAACTGCTATAAGTTCTCTATATAATCATTGGATTTGGGCACGCCAAAATGTTTAAAACCAATTCATATTTAAAAGCTATAGATCGCTTTTAAACATGAATTGGTTATATGACCATATGGTATATATTGGATATGGCCACAGATTCTTAATTTTAATTATTATTTTTATTCGTATTATTATCACAGTAGAATATCTCAAGATGGTCGTTTGAGATTAAAGAAATTATTGAATTCGCTTATTATTATGTTTCAGTGTAAAAGTGAAATCGTACAGTAAGAAAATAAGCACAGGAAACCTTATGAGACACCTGAGGGAAGAACACCAAATTATGAGTGACGAACCTCGTAAAACTCGCAAAACCCGCAAATCTCGTCAAGTTCAAGAACGTAATGATGACCCTCAAAAAGAACATAACATTGCACCTTATAATGAATCTAAACCCCGTGATGAACTTTGTGAATCTCAAGAACTAAAAGAATTCGCAAATGTCGGCACAGGCGCCTCAAGCAAAGCTCTTGTTGTAAACAAAATATCTAAGTGGAAATTGGGAAAACATCTAGCATTATGGCTCTGTCGTTCACTTTTGCCATTTGACTCAATAAACGACGAAGCTATGATTGAATTGTTAAAAAATTATAATGTTACTCTTACAAAGGAAGACGTTCCATCACAAAGTATTATTCGATGTGCTCTGGATAATGTTTACGAATGTACGTTGGAATGCATAAAACAATCTGTAACAAAGTCAGCTTCGCAACATGTTGCAATTACCACAGATTTGTGGAGTGATTGTTACAGACATAACAACTATATAACTATTACTTTACATTTCCTTAATGAATTATTTACTCTTGAAAACATAACCCTTGCCACGCAACTCATCATAGGACCCAAAACAACTGAGAATATATCAGATTATGTATTGAAGACCCTGCAAAAGTTCGATCTTCTGGAAAAACATATAGTTCTTGTTTCTAAAACGGAACCAACTGCAAATAAAATGGCAACATTATTGTCAAAACAATTAACATGCGAAAGCCATTATTGTTTAGGAAAGGGCTTGCATGACCTTATTGTTGTGGACGGAATTAAAAATACGACTAATGTATTCAACCTAGAAATCAAGTGCAAAAACATTATCAACACATTAAGATTCAAACAATATGAGTTAGAAGATTTAATTGATAAAGAAGAACAAATTATATTAAGTTGCATAGCAGATGCTGGTCAAGTGATTGAAATTGATGAAAACGTGTACATTGAAAATGACAACGATTCTGAAATGGATTACAATGGAATAGCGGAAAGATTATCAGGATTAGAATCTATAAACAAATCTATACCAACACGTTGGGATAGCACACTGACTATGTTTGAAAGCTTATACAATAAATATAACATAATCCCTATCAATCGACTACTAAATAAGTTAGAAAAACCCGAATTAATATTAAATGAAAGCGAATGGTTACTAATACAACAGCTTACAAATTTCTTAGCTAAATTCCGAGATTGTGTTTTAATAATGAGTGCACAAAATTCTTGTACAATCAATATGGCATTAGTATTTAAGATGGAAGTCGCTGAAATTTTAGATACACTGGATATAAACGACAGCCTAGAAATATTTAATATGAAGACAAACATGAAAGCTAATTTAGACTGTCGTTTTCCAACAAATAAATTAACAGTTGCCGCCACATTATTAGACTGCCGATTTCAAACAATTAAAGAAATAGACGTGTATTTACAAAATCATAGTCTAAATCGTGTATCGTTTTTGGCAAGTTATATACGAGAAACTGTTAGTACAAATGATACGAATTTATCTAAAAATAATTTATCAACTACATCAAAAATCGATGTAAACGCTTCTCCGAAAAATTCTACGTCATTACTAATACAACTTGCCATGAAGTACGAAGCTAATAGAGATTCCGATGAAATTGAAAACAAGTCGATTGAAATTGAGTGCTGTAAGTACTTCGCGGAGTGCGATCCCCAGGATCTAACTAGGAGTGACATATTAAGTTATTGGAATGAGAGAAGAGTGTCACATCCCTACTTGTCTACACTAGCAAAAAAAATATTATGCACACCGGCCACTACTGTACCTAGTGAACGTATGTTCTCTATAGCTGGCCTAACAACAGCAGCAAAACGATCGCAACTTTCTGGAAATAACGGACATAATATAAATAAAATTCTATTCGTCCATGATAATTACAATAAATGTAAAAACTACATTGATAACATTTAATACTCTTCCTTATACAGTATCTACTATTGAATCATCTTTTAAAATTTATTATATTAGTAGTTTAAAGATAATTGTTTTATAATATTTTAAATACTACACTTTTAATCTTGTGTGATACATACATTCATTAATGATATCATAAGTACTGACAACAGAGGTTAAAAGCTTATATTCTGACTAATAAATGATAAGTAAACAATAAATTTTATAATAATTCAATTTCATTTCATTTATAAAAAGCAAAAAAGTTTAAAACACGCAATTAAACGAAATTCTGTTTAAAATGGAATACGAGTACTATTATATCGAACCGGGCCCTACAGTGGGTTTGCACTATTATCAACAAATACCTTATAGGAACATATAATATAATATAATGCAATAAATCTACGCCTTTCGTTTGCGCTGCTTTATATTCAAGTACTCTAGAGTACAATGACTACCCCTGATGGTAAATGGTAATTGTCGCCTATCATGTAACCCCCTGGCACCACTTGCGTTGTCATTTCAGAGGACTAAGATGTCTTGCCTCGTATCCTATATTTGAAACAGAAAAAAACTATACAGCAAGCTGCTTCGCAACCGAACAGTTTAGACTGAAGTACCTATCCTCACAGATCTCCAACATTGGATAATTTATTGCATTAATAGATAGGTAAGAATTTTAGTCACTACACATATAAAGATTAAATTACAAATCATTTACTTTAAAAAAAGTTACCACAGCAAAATACTGTAAAGAAGTTATCCTTAAAAAAATTGTATTGACAATAAAACAAGGCCTTGTTGTTGGTAATAATTTAGAAATGGCTAATAGCAATCATATCTATGATTATGAAAAATCTATGATATTATCTATTCCGTAAGGGACTTGCCGCAAAGATAGATTATATATTTCGTAATTGAAATGCGATTATTGTAAACGAGTACATTATCAATAAATCTGTTTCACAAACTTAAACAGCCTTCCATTGCAGACCTTGACTGAAATATTATGTAAGCAAAAAATGCAAGGCATTTATCTGCGATAGAAAGTGAAATTGAAATTTATGTGAAACATATAATTAATATTTTTGGCAGTATATCACGCGGCACTGCAACTAACTACTTTAAAAAAACTAAAGGTGACAGATGAAAGATGTCCAAGGTGGGAAACAAAGCAAACGTGCGAAAGTAGGTTGTTCATACAAACAATTAGAGGTTATATTGTTAACTTGGTGTCACGGAGTTCACGTAACAGATTTCTAGATTATTTTTACTTTCACAGGATAGATGATTCTTGTCTATATTTATATTTAAAAACGTAATAACCTATAAGTAGTAGAACATTTATAAAATTGTTTAAACGATAATCAAATCAACACGTGGCCATATTATTATTTTTTTTACTACGATGTGGGCATGGGCGTGTCGAGTCGACTCGACTAGTCGACACATGTTCAAAATCCTTCGACTTTGAGGCACATAAATATTTTATGAGCATATTTTTTGTGCACAGTGATGGAGTCTGTACCATGTCAGTGAACTTTAAATGTCCCTTGCTAACTGATGCAGCAAACTGTACGTATACTCGTACGTACTTTGCCTTCGCTGGTTTATTTGCTCTACTCTAATCGAAATTAAGTAATAATATAATCCTGGATAATTCATATAGCGCCATCTAGTTATAAGATAAGCAGAGTTTGTGGTATGAACTGATAAAGACTTATTTTTTTATGTAGATACGTACATAATATGCACAGAAAATACCCAGACCCATACCAACAGTCATACTCATGAATACAAATGTGCATTGTGCGAAGATTCGAACCCGCGACTACTGACAGTTAAGCGATATGCTGAACTGCTAGACCACCGAGATCATCAAAATTTAGGTTTTAATGACCTTCTACTAGAGATTGTGTGAATACAAAGTTGTTTGCGTGGGTGCCTATGCTTTACCTATTTTTTCGGGTAAGATATTTCAAAAACAGTGACTGTATAAGGTTCCGAGGTATTATACCTTAGTCTATCGGCTGAAACATGAGAACACATACTCATTTTGTGATGTCTGTAGTGTTCATTAATTTAGGCTATGATTATCACTTGAGTTATCAGATAAGCAAGCACCTTCAGATGAGCAGTCATCTTCAGATAAGCAGTAATCACCAGAAGATGACTGCTCCATTAATGTAAAAAGTTAACGTTATCGTAATGCGAAATTTACTAAGTATCTCATTAGAGTCAGAACCCTAATTAGAAAACAAAATGTTTAATAATTGATTATAATATATACATATTGCGCAAATTACAGTAAATGCAAACTAGTGGATTAGAGGTCGATGACTCAACGGCGGACTTAGCGTAATAATGGATTATGTTGCATTAATTTTATGATCATGAAAAGTAGCATACGACATACCTTTGAATGAAATCACTACATTCAAATGTTGAGTATTTAATATATTTAAAATATAATAAAAATAATATCTCAGGACAATTCACACAGCGGCCAATTCACTCTACTCGCAGTCTAAGCTGAGCTTGTGTTATGGGTACGAGACAACTATAATGAATACATAGATGCAAATATCCAGGCCTATATAAACAATCATATTCATGAATAAAAATGTTTGTAGGTACCGTGAGTGGAATTGAACCTACGACCGTAGGATGAAAGGCGGTGTGCTAAACCATAAAACCCATATCTATGAGTGAATTAATCAAAAACCGTTACCTTTTAACTGAATAAGCAACACTAACAGTTAATGGCAAAAATATGGAGAAAGTATGGTAGGTTCTAGAAAAGCGAAGTACATTATGCTGATTTTCAGAAAAAGAGTTTTGAACTGAGTTAGAACTAAAGATGCTGTGAATGCCTACTGTTATTTCTGGCCGAGAAAGGAGGGAGAGGGCAAGAAGATGCTTATTGAGAAATTTCTTATATAGTATCGTACAAAATATCTAATGAAACTACCAGTATAGCTCTGTAAATACATATTTGGTACGAACACTTATCTTGACATAGAAACTTAACTGGTCCAGTTCGAAACGTGGTGTTTTCTTCAAGGGAAAAAAGGGGAAATTCAACAAAACCTGAGCTGATAAACGAGAGAAAACTTATCTAGACGATGTCCTCATTTGGTAGTTTAACGACATTTAGTTTCTACAATATACCTTGCGTGGAATGTAGACATATATGGGCGAAGTCATAAAACTAAACAGCATTGTATCTAACCTGTCAGCGTGGATACGTTCTGCCACTTATTTCTACTGATAATGGGTCAAATTACATGGTAGGGAGGCATAAAACAATCTTCAGGAGTGAACTGAGAAGGACTGGATCCTTGAGTCAACGTATTTTGTGATGTATTGTCAACAAATTTACGTTAGTTTCATTGGAAATTTCTATTATGTTTATTTATTATTCGTATTTCCACATTATAATAAATTAAATAATACATTCAAAAGGAAATAATGTGTCATGTAGTTTCCCATTATGTAGTCATGTTATCGTATGTGTGAAATGGGTGGAAATTCCGTTGTTGTTTTTGGCTACTAATATTACTTATCTAGCTGTTATCTAAAGACAGAATATGCGGGAATAAAACACTTAACCAGAACACAGTAAATAGCTGTTAAAATTAGATTAATATCTGAAACTGTCCAAATATATATACATAATTGCTAATCTGTCACTAGCAATATCCTTTAAATAAGAATCAATAGCTGTTACATCAATAATAGTTTTAGTTGTAAACCGATCTATAGAAATACAAATAATCTTTATTCAAATAAACTCATTACAAGCACTTTTGAATAGTCATATTTTTATTCTACCACTCATTCGGAATGCAGATTCATCACAAGAAGAATGAGCAAGAAACTTGTGTGTTGCTCTTTTGAATAGATGTTTTTTATATAAATAATTACAGTATAACAAGTAAGAGGCATGCGATAATCAACATAGAAATCGCTACGCACTCATTATTAGTGTAATTAGATAATATTGTCAGTGCTATGGATTTAAAGTTTTTCTATAAAAACATTATTATCGTTAACGAATCCTTCAATTTTATAGTAAGCTTTTTTGCAAAGGAACTTTTTTATTTGACATTTAAATCTTTTTTCTGGCAGATTTATAACAGATATTTTATTGTAAAACCTTACGCAATTGCCATAAAACGAATTACTAACTTTAGCCAAACGACATTTAGGTAAAATCAGTTTGTTATTGTTACGTAAGCTTTAATTGGTGCAATCACTAACTCTTTTGAAACTGTCTATATTCTTCCTGGCATAGATGATATTTTCATAAATGTATTGAGAAGCAACGGTGAGGATATTTGATTCCTTAAAACACTCTCGCAATGACTCCCTGGAACCCATACCATAAATGGTATGGGTTCAAATCGTAATTGAAACTATCAAATGATATTGACAACCCTACAAACTGGGAGAAGGGATTTTTAGTAATGGAATGGAAACCAGTGGACGGGCCATCGTGGTTAATTTGTAGAATTCATCACGATGGGTTAACGGACCTAAATTATCCTATCATCCTCCACTGGTACCACGCCAGCATATACCGTTAGCGCAGGTTTTCATCCATAAAAACCTAACTGACAATTGCAACTTTACAAATATGAATTAATAGAAATAGAATTACATAATCTAGTTGTGGTTCATGCATTGTTGTTGCGAAATCTTCTGTTTATAGAACTGAATTATAACGTCGCAGTATCTTGATCTACATTCTAGTTTTTACATATCGTAAAGTAGGCTCGCAATATCTCAATGTCACGCCATTAAGCGGTACTAATGTTACCATACATATATACATACGTTATAACGTTAGCGCGTTACAACGCGGAAGGAATTGTATCGCGCAGTAACGTTGCGTGGACCAGAACATAACGATTCAGATGTTCTTCCTCTATAGTTTCCTTTTAGCCCAAGAGCCCACGACGGCCAGACATACGTCATATTAGTAAACGTGAAAGTTCTTGTATGTGTGTCCCCAACACAGGTAAGAATGATCCCCAAACATGAAACCTGGCTCGTGGTTCCTTTGGCAGGTAACAGGTAACAAAGGTGTAAAAAATTTCATATCAAATTCGTTATTTTAAGAAACTCCATATTTTCATATATTGTTCGTAGCATTATTATAACTTGCGCTGCTCATTGCCAGACA